ATAGAGAAATGTTTAAGTACATACATCATATAACCAAAATTCAATTATGGGTGTACTTATAAACTTATGTCTCACAGTGTTTACTTATGTGGATGGATGTGGGGAGGGCTGTGTTTGTCATTCCAGGTGCCAGAGGAGGGGCTTGGATCCCTTGGAGCTGGAGTTACAAATGGTCATGAGTTGCCTGACACAGGTCCTGAGAACCAGACCCTGCATCCTCTGAGAGACCAGTAAGTGCTCTTAAACTATCAGTCATCTCTCCAACCCGTAAACGTGGTCTTTTAAATCAGAAGTAGCACTTCAAGTAGTTTCTGTAACTGATAAGCCACTGCCTTTGCTATAATTGTGTGTATTATTCAGAGTATTTAGGAAAGTTTTAGAAATAATTAGGTCCTTGTTTCTCATAACTATGCTATGTACAAGAAAGATGTGCCAAGTGTGCTGGCTCACACCTTTAGTCCCAGAACTCAAGGCAGAGGCAGGATGATCCTCTGTGAGTGTGAAGCCAGCCTGGTCTACACCGCAAGTTCCATCTCAGCTAAAGCTACATAGTGAGACCCCACCTCAAAAAGGAAAAGAGAAAGATGAGACTCTCATACTGATTTTAAGGGTTAACAAGTGGTATTCTACATTAATGCATATAAAATATTTGAGGAACACTTTTGTAAAGATCTAAATAAATTCTTTAAAAGCAATCTTATTCTTAAAACCATTTTAAAGATGCAATGTGTTAATGTGGGCCTCCTACTCTTTAAAAATGCTTCCAAAACCAGCACACTCACCTCTGGGGCTTTCCAAGCAGAAGTTTTAAGTCCCTTAATCTTATTTGAAAATAGAAGAGGGCAACGCTGGAAATGTGCCAGGAGCAGGCCTTGGCATTTCTAAAGAGCCACAGTGAAAAGTACCTTCTCTCACAAGTCAGTTCCTTCCCGCAGAAGCAGCCTCATCCAGCTCTCTCAGCCACCCACCGCTCTACCCAGAGAGCCTGTCTGCACATCCAAGAGAGTACAAGTTAGACAACTCAGTGGTACTTCTCCCATACTGGTGGCCTCCCCTGGACTCTCTTAGTGTTTTAACGCCTACTAACCACGTCTCCACGGCAGTCATTTAAAAATGCAAGAGGGGCCATATGTGGTAGGTTGTGTCCTTAACCCCAGCGTTTGGTTGCCAATGGCAGAAGTGTACTCTCAGCCAGCGTCTACCTTAAGACCCTATCTAAAGGGGGGAAAAGAGCCAGACACGTTGGCACGTACCTTTTCTTTTCTTTGGAGTAAAAGACAAAAGAAGGAGAGATCACCGGAGGAGCCTGGGAAAGAGCACTTTCCCTGTCTTCTCAGGGGGCTACAATTTCCATGTGTGACCACACCCAGAGGACCAATTCTGAAAGAACACCAAAGCCCCAGCCCCAGAGAGAAAGTCATCAATCCCAGTCAGAAGGGGAGCCTGGTCTCCAGTGCACCTCAGAAATGGGCTGACAGTGGAAAGAAAGGAGCAGAGTGGGAGCACGCAAAGGGTTGGGGATTAACTTTTTTGTTTTTTGTATTTTCCTATTTAAAAACATTTTCTTTAAAAATGTTTTTTTTTTTCCCTTTCTATCTGGGTGATGTATCTGAGTACAGGCTGGCCTCAACCATTGTGGGAAGAGGGGAGACAGCAGCAGGAGTCTCCCCACGTTACCCCATCTCTGACTTCACATCTAAAGGGAGACATTTACCCAAGGCAAATGATGACTCAATCCTTCACATCTCAGCTCTCTCTGGGTCCTTGGCCCTAACAACTTGGAAACCCCAAAGTCTTAGTGATATAGTTCCTTGAACTCTTGGTGTTAGGGCAAGGGAAGAACAGGTGTCAATCCTTCGCCCCCTCTTCTTGAATTTAGGCAGATGGTAACTTAGGTGTGGGAACAGGAGACAGGAGCTCAGGAGGTTATGGACCACACCTTTAATCCCAGCACTCCAGAGGCAGAGGTAGGCAAATCCCTGTAAGTCTGAGGCCAGCCTGCTCTACATGTCCAGTTCAGGGCTAGCCAGGACTACATCATGAGACTCTGTCTAGAAATGCAGATTGCAAGGGCTGGAGAGATGGCCCAGCAGTTCAGAGGGTTTACTGGTCTTACACAGGAGCCTGGTTGGGTTCCCAGTACCCATATCAGGCAGCTCATGCCCATCTGTAATTCCAGGTCCAGGGGATCCAGTGCCATATTCCAGACTACATGGGCACTTGCACATGTGTGTTACACATAAACTTAGGAAGCACACAATACACTCAGAAATAAGACTTAAAAATAGCTTTTAAAACTTGAAAGAGCACTTTCCCCTCAGTGTCAGTTCAGTTGGACCCTGACTTAACATAGCTAAACTCCACTTTTTCAGCGTTGCCAGAGCCCAAGAATAATAGTACCCATTACAATCACGCTGAGAATGCTGGCTTGTGATCCTCTTCCTGACTCAGGATGTATGATGTACTCTCTCTCCCGGTGTTAGGCAGTGGATGGACCATAGCTCCCACTCAGCTGGGAGCAAGATGGGCATGAACCGGCACTTGCAGTGTATTCTGTTCCTGAGCTATGGCATCTAGCCAGCTGCCTGGATTATTTTCAGCCTGCGGGTCCATCTTCATGTAACCACACCATCAATCAAGGGAAATCTGCACTTTTCAAACATTAAAAATAAAGTCACGACTTTCTCTTTCCCCCACTTCACAACCTACCTGATGTTAAGAGTGCACTTCTTTCTGAGGCAGTTCTGCCATTTATTTCCCAGACTGGAGGCACGTTCCGAGCCTTTCTGTGCCCCGAGTCAGCTGGAGAGCTCTTTTCAAGCCTGCTGCGGTGTAGACTGAACCAGTGCTTCGCCACTCGCTGCTCACGGTCTCTCAGAAGCTCCCTTCACTGCTGTAAACAAAATCACGTTTGTGGTAGCTGTTTTTACAATTATATGAAACTGAGCTGTAAGCTGCTTCTCTTACATACTATTGTGGCATCTCTCCAAAAAAAAAAAAAAAAAAAAAAAGTAAGTTTTTTGATATTACAAATTATGATAGAGCATAGCATTGCCAAACATTTCCCTACTGAAACTCATGTTTTTAATTTCTGTGGTTTTATCAGAATGTTATAGCAAACGGTTTTGTGCCCTCCCTCTGTGTGTTAATATGTTAAATTCTTAGACATGGTATTGCTTCACCAAATGGTTTTTAATTTTTAATTTTAAGCAGCACACACAAAAATTAATTTCCAGAAAACATAAAAGCAATAGTGAACCAATCAGGCTGTACATCAGGGAATTTAAAAGTCAAGCACATATTTTGAAGAGATAGAAGGCTTCCTGGAGCTTCCTGGCCAATCGGTCTAGCAGAATTGATGAGTCCAGGTTTAGTGAAACTTAGTGTCTCAACATGGAGAAGTAACTAAGGAAGAAGCTTGACATTGACCTTAGGCACACACATGCACATGCACAAGCACACACACACACATGTAGAAAGTAAGCTAATGATGGGGGACAAATGGAATCCTTAAAAATAACCCAAAGGATTGTTCTCTGGGAAAGGCTTTTATAACCTGAAACCCCCCCCCCTTTCTCTTCTGTTTTAAAATGATATCAAATCATTCCACTGTAGTATTATTTAACACAATTTGTATTGCTATGCATAAAGTATGGTTTTCAAATCTAAAGTAACCCGAAGGAAGTCAAGAATAAAAATGAAATAAAGATGGAACAAACAGAAAAAAGAATTACCAAGGTAGCAGATTTCAATTCAGCATATATGGTGATCACTAAATGTGCGTGAAGTCAATGCTCCAACAGAAAGGCAGAAATGGTCAGAAGTGTTTGCTGTCGCTTTAAACAGCTATACTCTCTAAATATCATTCATAAGAAAGGTGACATGGCTACACATAAATATAAAGTAGACCAGAATGTGGTGATGATTCTGTAATGCAGTCAATTTACCAAGAGGACCTACTTCTAAATGGCTACGTCACCAGTGAGTTTCAAGGGCGTGAAAACTGACAGAATTGAAAGGAGTAATAGACTAAGCCAGCCTTCCTTGTCAGAAAAGTCTAAAGTTTTCTCAGAAGTAGACAGAAGGTCATTAAGATGACAGGCAGGAAGCAGGCAACGATGGTTCAAAAAGTTGAAAATACAGTGATTCTATTGACGGGAGAAAAGGCTCTTCCTCTCACTGTGACTACCCAGAGGCGGGGGTCAACAGCGTTGCCAACACTGACCTGGAATTTGGAAGAAGCCAAACCCCGTAGCCGCAGACACTGCAGATCGCTGCATCCCAGACTTTAAACCAGTTCTGTATTAGAGGAGGTGGCCTGGGGGGTGAAGAGGTTCGTCAAGCGTGGTGACAAGTCTGCCTGGACAGCTTGCTGAGCGTGGCAGAGGGGGTCGAGGGCAGAGACGGGTGCGGCTGTAGGAGGCAGCCAGCAAGAGGGGAAGAAATAGGCTGTGCAAGGAGGTTTAGGGGAGCCGTGGGCACTACACAGTGTAAACTCTCTAACTAGCGTCAGGGAAACCCCAAAGGGGTCCGTCCACCTTCTGCAGGCAGTCAGTGTCCACCAGGGCAGCCCGC